TGCAAGGCAAGGAGAGAATCTTCTCATGGGTTTGTAAATACCTAGCATAGTTTTGAGACCTGTATAGTTATTTAGCTGAAATTACATTGCCTCCTATTTTGATTTTTAAAGACTTCCAAGGAACACTATCCAAGGATGGTAATTTTTTTATAAGCACTTTTCCCAAAGAGTACATATCAGATATCCTATAGACAATAAAGTCTAGGTGATTACTGTACATATGTACAAGAAGCCAATTAGTTGAGAATCTCAAGGACAAGGAGAGATCAGGGAAGCAGGCGGCTCTGCATGTTGGGCAGGCAGGACCTGCCTGCACTGTAGCAGCCCCAAATCCCAGCCCCAGCCCTAGCAGACTCCCTTACAGTGATGCCAGTAGCCCTGATGGCCCCACACCCAGCTGCCCCAGCTCCCTGGCTCCTCACCATGCCATGCCCTGGCTCCCATTGGCCCAGCGGCCCTGCCACAGACTCGGCTGCGTTGCGGCTCCAGCTCCTACAGCCCTGGCAGTTGGTTATGCTATAGTCACCAACAGCCCTGGCTCCTGGCCACACTGTGCCCCCAGCCCCTGTGGACCCAGAGGCCCCAGTGTATCCCTAGCTCCCAGACTCACCACATCCCTAGTCCTGGCCCTGACTCCCATATCAGCTCCCAGCCACACTGTGGCCTCAACTCCTGAGGATGCAGAACCAGCAGCAACAGTAAGTAACCTAACCCCACCCTAGCTGTCCTGCCACCACCAATGGTTAACTAGTTGAACAATAAAATTTGAAACATTTAACCAGTTAATGTTTTAATCAGTATTTACATCCCTAATAGTGGTAGCAATGCTGGCAAGGGCAAACTGGGGTTTATAACAACTGAGTCGAGCTATTTGAAAAGCAGAATTCCCATCCCACAAGAAATTCCAAGAATTCCAGATTTTATATCATTTCAAAATGGAATGGAAAGTTGAAATTCAGAAATTTTCGTTAAACAGAAAATGTAAAAAAAAAAAAAAATCATTCAACTTCATAGTTGATTTGATCCAAAGGTTTTGTTTGGATCATATTTACTATCATAAATATCATATTTACTTTTATTATATAGGATATTATAAAATATAAATATAAAAGTCAAAATGATCAAGTTGAAATTAAACATTTTGATAATTTCCCATATCAAATTTTGATGAAATCAGCACATTCCAACACAATTTTTTATTCAACTAAGTTAGTCTTTTCAGATGGGAAAACATTCCAAAGGAAAAATTTCAACCAACTCTCCAGCTGAGCTATTTGGGGTTTACCCCTATGGGAGACTGAAAAGAAATGAGATTAATATATTTTAAATAGGTGCAAGGAAGTAATAAAGCCAATGATAGATCAATAAAGTAGAGGAGCTGCATTGGGAGATGGATCTCAAGTGGTCATAGGCAGCTGATCAGTTGTCATTACCTGGGGTCTCATAGCTCTGGTTCAAAGCAGCTGGCAGTCTGGATAACTGGTGAAGAAGTAATTATTCCAGTAAGCCTAATGCTTACCGGGTAACCAACTAACCTTTTACAGACTTAACCGCTATACCAGATCCTGTGCTCCACTTAGAACTAAATCAAAAATTGCCTCTCCTCTTGTGGGTTCTAAGACTAGCTGCTCCAAGGAGGATTCATTTAAGGTGTCAAGAAACTTTATTTCAGCATCCCATCCTGAGGTTGACATGTTCCCAGCCAATATGGGGATATTTGAAATCCCCCATTATTGCTGAGGTTTTTTATTTTAATCTCCATACGCATTTTACAGATATCCTTCAAAAGCTTACTAAATTTTTTCCTTTCAGAAACTCCAAATTACATCTCTACCTAAAATGAAGGAACTGAAGAGGAAAAAGTAAGATTTTAAAATAAAGTTGTGTCAAAACTTAAATAATTATTAGATGTAGTTCTTACACGAGACAGTAACATTCTCTATGCTGCAGCTGCAGCCTGAGCTTAACTCACAGAATCAGAAGGATATCAACAGAGAAAACGCACTGCAGAGGATTTCACTAGTACGCTAATAATTACAACATGCTTATTCATGCTTTGAACCAAACATTCTATGCTCTAGTCACACTGGCTGTCTTCAAGGAGTTTTATAGAAAAGGATTACAATGCAAGGGGGTACAATATGAGTAAATACAGCTACTAAAAACCTAAGCCCCTAATTTTTTCTGGACTCCCTTCATCCGGAGTAACATTCAGGCATAGACAGACATTCCCTGGAGTCAAGTATGTCAAATATATCATACCATTCCTCCTCAGGCAATATTGCTAATAATAATTTTTATAACACTTTATGTGATTCCAGCACTGTTGACTAACAACTTTGCACAGCATCTGTCAGGCACATAAGAAGACCATGGGTACGTCTAGACTACATGCCTCTGTCGCCAGAGGCATGTAGATTAGGCTACCAGACATAGGAAAATGAAGCGGCGATTTAAATAATCGCCGCTTCATTTAAATTTACATGGCTGCTGCGCTGAGCCGACAAACAGCTGAACAGCTGTTTGTTGGCTCAGCGCTGTAGTCTGGACGCGCGGGTGTCGACATCAAAGGCATTTGTCGACCACCCAGGTATACCTCATCCCAGGAGGCATACCTGGGTGGTCCACAAATACCTTTGATGTCGACACCCACGCGTCCAGACTATCGCGCTGAGCCGACAAACAGCTGTTCAGTTGTTTGTCGACTCAGTGCGGCAGCCATGTAAATTTAAAAGAAGCGGCAATTATTTAAATCGCCGCTTCATTTTCCTATGTCTGGTAGCCTAATCTACATGCCTCTGGCGACAGAGGCATGTAGTCTAGACGTACCCAAAGTTAAGCCCTGATTCTACAATACATCTGAGCTGAGCAGGTGGATCCCACTGGACACACAAAAATCTCATTCATTTCAGTGGGGGTACCATGTGAATGCAGAGGTATACCTGTGCAGAATAAGCTGCAAGATCAGGGCTTTAGACCTCCCCTATCAGTGATGATAATTTTGTTTCTAATTGTGGGGACAAGTAAAGTAAAGGGCCTTTATTGGTCTGTTTTGAAAGTTATGGGTGTAGTGTTGCCAACTCTTTGGCTCTGGGCTTAATAAATGAAGCATCCTCTATTGAATATGTAATACTAGATTTTGATATTTTTTTCAAACAAGTTAACATATTCTCCTCCACACACTTGTTTCTGTACACCTGTTCTGGCTTTCCTAGAAGAGGTCAAAGCCTCACCATAACCAGGAGATCAGACTTACAATTTGACATATATTACCCTCAGGTAGTCAATTAAAACACAACAAGTATTCTTCTTACTACTCTAACCCAGTTAGATCCAGCCAATTTCACCCTGTTAATTCTCATATCATTCATTAAATCTAGAGACCAGTACATAAAAGTTTCCAAATCCTTGATCAATCAAACATTACAATCCAAAACCTATAATTTGTTATTACATTCAATACCTAAATAAGAAACATTTATGGAAGCATAGGTGAACAAACACCAGCCAAGAAAGGGGAAGGGTTTTTGTTTTTGTTATTTTTTTGTCAGGGAATAATCGTTCCATACATACACTTTGAAATGGAAGGAGAACTAGAAAGGGAAAGGGAAAAGAACAGAGTGAGTTTTTTAAATTCCTTTTAATTAAGAAATAAACTCCAAATATATTTCTCATTTAACTGGTTAATTTTTAGGTCAAAGAAGAACCGTGCCAGTTAGTGTCAAGCACTGAGATATGGTCTAGGATTAAGATCTGGGCATTAATATTCCTGGCTGGAATTTATACTAATAGATCTCTAGGGTTGACTTCAACCAATTTCCATTCACCCTTCTCCAACCCCACTCTAAGTGCCTTTTCCCCTCTTTGGATGTTATGCATTTTGTTCTTGTCTTCTCCCTTTCCCCATTTTATTTGTGCCAGTCTCTCTCCTCCCTATTTCTTGCTTCTCTTGCCCCTCTTTGCGGGAAGACTTTATGATCCACTTGCCTTCACCTGCAAAAGGACGTGCACTGCAGCAGTCCTCCTATATAGGCTTTACATAGCTTCCTCTGGAGTCCACTGATAGAGCTTCTTCATTCACCTGAAAGTCATTGTTAGAGAAATAAAGTATTGTTGCCACCCCAAGCAAAGGGTGCAAGAAACCAACTGGTCCTGAACATCAGGCTTCACTAGACCATCCCCTTTTTCTGTCCTTGCATCCCTTTCCTGTTTAGATCTGATTCCCCTCTGTAGTCCTACATTCGTAAGATGTTACTTATGCAGCTGCCTACCAGTGGTGGGTAAGAGAATCAATAGCAGAGTAAAACTAATGAAAACCTAATTGGTTTTGTTCTGTGGTTCTTCTAGACCTTGGGGAAAGCACAAATGCATCACTCTAAAAGAATCTGAGTAGGTTAGGGTAGAAACATAAGATTCATGCCAATGTTAAACTCTTGTGACCCTCTAACAATCTCCAGCTTTATTTCATGCGGTGCTGTAGCATGCAGTCTAGGTGTGATCACACCCACCATTCATCAAACACTGAAAACTGAAGCCTGCCTACAGAGTAAGATAAGTAACTCCAGGTTTTCTCCCCAAATACTGTATGGCTTGCTATATATTTCTTTGCAGTATATTTGCCTTCTATTCCACAGGGTTAAAAAAATTAGAACAATGAAAACTTTAGGAAACCACATCGGGGAGGGAAGGCAAGAACCCAAATTATCTTGTTCTGGGGATTCTCAACCTTTTTTCATAATGTTATCCCTAAATTCAATCCTCCTGTAAAGCACCTCAGAAAAGGTGGTGTGTTGAAGGTGGCAATAAGGGCCTTAGAATAAGTAGGGGAGGGGATGTTCCTAGCACTTGAAACTGACTGGTTGCAAGTGACTTATCAAACTGACTTCAGCATAAAACTGGAGACATGAATGGGAGCAGGCTCACAACCCCTCACTCCTCTGAACAACTGCTGGTGACCCCTAAGGGAGTCATGAGTCACAGGTTGAGAACCACTGCCTTACCCTATAGGCAGTCTCCATTCTCCAGTGCTGATGAATGGTGGGTGTGACATCACCAGCAAAGGGTATGGTGGAGCACCACATGGGAGGAAGCTGGCGACTGCATGTAACTGTTCTTGCAGGACCTGAAAACAAGGTGGGAAAAATATAAACTACAACAACAAAGGGTGCTGAAATATGTTATATTATTTATTTGGGGCATTTATAATCTATCCCATAAATTGCTTTCTTTTGCAGGTCCATTAAAATCTGAGTCCTTAAACTATCACGAAACAAATCTTAAAAATCCAAAGGCGATGTGGTCTAATATGGTTTTCATTTTGACTCTATAGACTTTGGGGTAATTAAACCCCAAAGTCTGTAGAATCAAAACGAAAACCATATTCAAATGTGTAAAGAAACCTTGCTGCTTTCTGCCACAAGAGGATATGACAGGAAGACCCAACACAAACTGAAATGCAACATTCATGTTTCTAATTTATTTTTCTAATCTTTATACTATCATTGGGTGGGGAAAGTTAAATGTTTCAAAAATATATTCGAAACAACATCTTGGGCCAAAGTCAGTTCTTATTTACTTTATGTCCCCTGCAATTCTTTAGGGATGTAAAATTCCGGTTAATCAGTTAACCAGTTAAACATTAGGTTGACCTAATGTTTAACCAGTTAACTGACTAAGCGGGATTGGTGCCTGCAGGACTCCCATGCCCAGCCCTGTGCTGGGGCTGGTTCCTGGGGCTGCTGCTGACTCCCAGGGAAACAACCCTTACCTGCGTGGCATCCAGGCTCCCCATGGACAGAGGCTGCTCTAGACGAGAGTAACCCCTCTCTGTGGTGGGTCCCCGGTGGGGCTGGAGCAGACCCTACCCACAGTAGGAGGAAAGCTGTTCCCAACCCCTGGTTACTGGTTAACCATAGCCCACTTAGGGTGATGCTTACTGGTTAACCAGGTAATCGGTTAACCTTTTATATCCCTAATCCCTATTGGTATATAAAATCAACACAGATTCTGATCCTGCAGCCATTTTCAAAAACGAGTACTTAAATGTACGCTCCTAAGTCCACAGGCATAAACTAGGCCTGATTTTCAAAACTGCTGAGCACATAAAGCTTCTGTTGGCTTTAGTGGGACCTTTTGGATGCTCAGCAACATTTTTAAAAATCAGGCCTTGTATTTAGGTCCCCAGTATGGAGTCAGGAACCTACTTTTAGGAACTCAATTTTAGAAATATTGGCTCAAATGTTTAATTGGAACCATAAGCTGCAAACTTGCCAGCTTGTGTAAATACTACAATACAAAGGATGAGATCC